AAGGACCTCCTTATATTCCAAAAAGATTCCGAAAAGAAATCTTGTTGGGTCCTCTCTGAACAGATGTAAATTATTGAACTGATTGTAGATTTCAATTTTTTTTTATAAAAGATTAAAACAAGTCTAAATTGAATAAAGTAATAATTCTGGATTTCTTTGAATTTCAATGCACACACTTGCTTTTTGTAACTGTTTGCAAACTTAATCTTATGACTAGTAACATTTATATCTAATAGTTATATTTTTTTTTCTCAGGAATAATGAAATTGCCAAGCGAGTTATCAAAGCTCAAAATAAAGCTCCTAAAAGAAAGATTAAAATGTAAAACTTTTAAACAGATGATAAAAAAATCTGAACGAAATTCTCAAAAATTTTTGCATGTTATTGAGCGATTTCCAGAGCCTTCATTTTTATTTACAAAAATGCAACAACAGCATACAAAAAAACCTAGAGGAAGAAGATTTTCTATTGAGGAAAAAATTTTGGCCTTATCTCTTTATAAGCAAGGTCCAAAAGCATATAATTTTATGCAGAGAATATTTGTCTTACCATCAAAAAGAAGCTTGCAACAAGTTTTAAATTTAATTCCTATCGAACCAGGGATGAATAACGTCCTAGAAAACTTAAAAAGAAGGGTAAAGAAATTACCGGAAGAGAAAAAATTGTGCACATTAATATTTGATGAAGTTGCACTAACCCCTGGAATGCATTATTCAAATATCTGGGATCAAATTATGGGGTTAGAGTACCCCGAAAGTGGTAAACATAAAAATAGCAGACCATGCTTTGGTCTTTATGATAAAAGGTATAAAAGCTTAATTTAAGCAACCTTTATGCTTTACATTTTGTCAAGGTGCAACAAAAAAAGAAATATTAAAAACCTTAATTAAGGATGTAATGAAAAAAATCCATTCATGCGGATTAAAGGTAGTTGCAACCATTTGCGACCAGGGAGGACCAAATATGAGTGCAATTAATAGTTTGTACATTGAAACTAAGGAAAAATATATGCGACAAAACAAAGAATACAAAAGCTTAGCCTTTGAGGTTGATGACATAAAAGTTTTCCCAATTTTTGATTCCCCTCATTTGATCAAGGGTGTAAGAAATAATTTTCTTGAAAAAAATGTCAGGTTTATTCAAGGTGGTAAAGTGAAGATTGCCAAATGGGAACATTTAAAAATGTTATTAGATGTGGATGTTGGTGAGGATGACATAAGATTGTTAAATAAATTAACTGAGCACCACATAATAAAAGAAAAAAAAATGAATACACCTCTAACGCTACTTGCCAATAATCATAAAAAATATTAATGTTAAAAAATCCATAATAAAAAAATAATTTTCAACAAACTAATTAAGTAAAAAAGAAACAAAATTTGTAAATCCTATACAACAAAACTGACTGATTCATACATTCAGAGACTTTTTCATTCGTTGCCACAGCATCGCATTACAAATCTATCCTTCTAACAGTATGTTTTATCTCTTTTAAATTCATTCAACCTACTCATATGCTTTGTAACCTTTACAAATGAACTTTACGTCACAGTTTTATACATAAGGGTGTTCTAAAATTCTTTGTTTTGGAAAATTTAATAACTCTGTAAATGTTGGTGTTTAAAGGATGTTAATGTTTAATACAATTTTAAAAAGTTAGCCTCTCTATGTGTGTTCATTTATTGTCGCGATGGTAAAGACACGCTGTTTAGACAAAAGAAACCATTTGAAATAATTCTATATTATTATTTTCAGAGCATAATATACTTCCAAAAGAGTGTGAAGATACGGCTGAGTTTTTATTAATATTTGACAAATTATTTGATGCCTTTAATGGGCATAGCAATCAAGAGTCATCAAAACTTTATAAAAGCTGCTTAAAAGTGAACTCCATCCACCATAAATTACGGGATGATTGTTTAGCCATATTAAGATCAATGCAATTTGAAACCATGGGAAGAGGAGATGGAACGAAAATAACAAAATTTGTTCAGGTACCATCCATTAAAAACTGGATAAAAAAGATATTAGTTTTTAAAGAAATGATAAATTATACAAAAAATAAATATAATGTAACAAGCCTCCTGACTAGAAATTTTAATCAGGATCCGCTTGAAAACTTTTTTTCTTCCATTAGAAGTAATGGAGTTAGGAATGTGTCTCCTACATGTTGGCAATTTGTGTGTGCCTTTAAAACATTATTGGTTAACAATTTTAATTCTGTACATGCAGTTGCTGCCAATTGTGAAAAAGACAGTAATAAGGCTTTACAGTGTCTGAAGCATTTGCTTAGAAAGGGAAATAAAGTTATTGGGAGTCAAACAACCGTAAAAGAAAACCATTATATTGATCCTTTATTAGAAATACTGAGCAAAGACGACAATAAAAATGTAACATTTTTAAATGAAGAATCTAAGCGGTATGTTGGGGGATTTATTGTTAAAAAATGTAAAAAAATATTTAAAAATTGTTGCAACAGTGAAATACGAAAAAAATGTACAATAGACAGTTTAATTTCTGAAAGAGACCAGACCAAGAGATCCCTCAACTGCCCTTCAGATAAATTTCACAAATGTTTAACAGAAATTTTTAAAATGACAAATAAAATTTTGTCCTCTGAGCCAGAAAGAAAAAATATTGCTATCTAAAGCTCATATTAAATTATTAATAGGCACCCTATGTGACTTTTCCTTTCTAACATGCTTGACACATAAAGATAAGTTAATTAAATTTTGTTGCAATTTAGCTCTAAATATAACATTAAGCAGTTGGTGCACTACTGTAAACAGGATACTAAATGGCAAAAGCACAAATTTCAACAGAGAGGACAACATTAAACTCCAGGCGGAAAAAATATTATAAGACACGTATTCTTAAAAATAAAAAGAAATAATATAACAAATTGCGTTTTCTTTATCATCGAACCTTTACAGTCTATAGTTGTTTAATACCATATTAATTACACTTCTTAAAATTTTTGTCAGCACTGTATCCAGTGTAAATTACTAAAAGTATTTAAAATGAAACATTTTGTCATTTACTTTTGATAAAAATAACTAATAAACGAGTACAGCGCTACCTATATTTGAATGTAGAGTTGCACATCTATTTCAAATATAAGGTATAATCTATGGGTATGGCTATGGCCGCCTCGTCCGACGGTGGCGGTATATACGCTTGCGACAACCCGCCGGCCGAATAGGTACGAAATTCCCCGAACGCTTACGGCGGCTCTTTCCGATCATGCCCGAATTGAAACGTATGATTTAGGCATTTTATACCAAATATTTCCTTGAGATAAATTTATTCTTTATTTCTATGACAATTAGGTAGATAAATAATTGCGTAATAAGATTAAACAGTAATATTTATTTTCAATTACTTTTTTTTTGTAATAGGTTTCTTTACGTTGGTATAGATGGAGCTTAATTTAGACTGATTAAATCTCAATTAAAAAAAATGATTGCTAAAAAAACATCTAAATGTTCCAATTCCAACCAAAGAAAGGTTCAATTCCATACCGGGTCTCCATTAGGAGGCCTGAACATAACTAATACCTATAGGTATTTTGATACTGCGTTTTAGCACCGGGTATACGGCGATACCCGTACCTTTGAGGCCGGGTATAGAATGTTGCAGGTATATCTCATGCCTAGACAGTAGGGTTGTCGAATAAGTATCGATATTATTGATTCTATACATTGAAATTTTGATCCGATATATCGATACAAAATATTGAATATCGAAAATCGTATAAAAAACGATATTTTTTTTTGAATCCGGCACAGCGTCCGTAGGTGTCAAATATTTACTATTGGACATACTTTTTTTGGACAGTTTTCTAAGGGGTCCACGGAAGATTGCGTTTACGTGTTCCTGGCTAAAGTGCCAAGGAAAGTGTAATGTGTCCAGCGAGATCGAATCAGTAAAGTAATCCGCTCTAAATCGTGATGTTTATGGCTCTAAATTATCACAATGAACATTAATTTATCAGATCATAAGAAAGTAATTAAAATTACGCCAGTAACGTAAACATATGATTTATAAATAAAATTCCCGTATTTAATTACGTCATGCAGCTAGCATTCTTGGCATCATGCCGCATGGATTAGATTTATTAGATAATATGTAATTTTACTCACTCATTTAAGCCTGAACATAACTAATACCTATAGGTATTAGTTATGTTCAGACCTTCTTTTGGAGACGCGGTCGAATCAAATGAATTGAACCTTTGGTTGGAATTGGAACATTCAAATGTTTTTTTTAGCAATCAGTTTTTTTTAAATTGAGATTTAATCAGTCTAAAATAAGCTCCATCTTTACTAACGTAAAGAACCCTATTATCAAAAAAAAGTAATTCAAAATAAATTTTACTGTTTACTGTAACCTTATTACGCAATTATTTATTTAATTTATGGTCATAGAAACAAAGAATAAATTTATCTCAAGGAATTATTTAATATAAAATGCCTAAATCATACGTTTCAATTCGGGCATGATTGGGAAGAGCCGCCGTAAGCGTTCGGGGGACTTCGTACCTATTCGGCCGGCGGGTTGTCGCGAGCGTATATACCGCCACCGTCGGACGAGGCGGCCATAGCCATACCTATCGGGTATGGAACGGGCCTCTGCCGTACATACGTCATACCGGGTGTGCGGGCGGGTTGTCGCGAGCGTATATACCGCGACCGTCGGACGAGGCGGCCATACCTATCGGGTATGGAACGGGTCTCTGCCGTACATACCCGATGTGCGTACTGGTATGTTCATACTGGGTATTTATACCTGTGCCAGTATATACGCCTCATCCCTACTACTGTCATTTGTCAATAAGACAAGAAAACAATTCCACAAGTAAATAGTTAGCTGTTGCTCCAATGCTCAGATTTAAAATTATATTATTTCATAGTATATAAACTTTTTGTACGAATGTTGTTCTAAACTTGTATAAAATTTTATTTTTTTTATAAACGAAATAGGGATAAAAGCAATTAAAAATGGACCAAATGCTGCCAAGTCCTTACAACATACCTGGTATAGGTACTCCATTACATCAACCAGAAGAGGACCAGCAAATCTTACCAAATGCAATGCAACAGCAACAACAACTTCAACAACAACAGCAGCAACAGCAACAACATTCTTTAGCATCGTTGGGATCGTCGCCACTCGTGGGATTTGGCGCGTCTTTGATGGGAACACCGCAGAGAACTCTACACACTTATGCACCTACTGCTAGTTATGCTACACCGCAGCAAATGATGCAACCTCAAACACCGGTATATTTTTATTCAAAATATTTGATGGTTTTAAAAACTTAATTTATTTTAAAATTGTATTTAATATCAGTTGTTATCAGTGAGTTTTTATGGCGTGACAACATATGTATGTAGATAATAAATTTTCCGAACTCGGATTATTAATATGTAATATATAAATCCTAGAAAACAATCCCGATAATTATTAAAGGTTTTGTTACCTTCAGAAAAAAAACTGTCCAAAACCTATATAACAGGCTCAAATTATAGATAGCGATTAACATTTTTTATTCATAGACCCATCTCATATATCACACCAATCTTTATAAGGATCCTTTAAAAAAAATATATTTTTATGTAACACTTGAGTAATTAAAACAAACATTAAATCTATTTTCTCCAAGCAAAATATGATGTCACCAATGATTACAAGTGGAAGTTTAGCAGGACAACAGGGAATTGGTCAAGCCAGTCCAGCACCCATGACTCCAATGACTCCTCTTTCCGCTGATCCTGGAATTTTGCCACAATTGCAGTAAGTTTTGAAATAATTTCTGTAGGCATTACTAAGCCAGCCATTGCACAATTGTTAAGTTATTGGTTTCGGCTTTGTGTGATATATTTGATTTTGCCATGGAATAAGTATTTGCATGAATTTAAGAAACCTTTTCAAAACTTTACCGCATAATTAAACCAGAATTTTGTTTTATTAGGAGGTAAAGTTTTGAAAAATGAAAATTGTTACAATAATTTCTTAGTATAAAATATATACAGCGTGTTGTTACTATTGTCGCGATATAAATGAACACATGTCTAACGCTACTTGCCAATAATCATAAAAATACACAAGGGTTAAAAAAATCCATAATCGAAAAAAATATTTTTCTAACAAACTAATCAAATAAAAAAGAAACAAAATTTGTAACATCCTATGCAACTACAACTGACTGATTCATACATTCAGAGACTTTTTCGTTGTTGCCACAGTGTCGCTTTACAAGCCTCTTTTAACAGTATGTTAATGTCTCTTTTAAATTCATTCAACCCATTCATATGCTTTGTAACCTTTGCAAATAAACTTTACGTTACAGTTTATACATAAGGCTGTTCTAAAATTGTTTGTTTTGGAAAATTCAATAATTCGGTAAATATAGATGTTTAAAGAATATAAATGTTTAATACAATTTTAAAAAGTTATCCTCTATATGTGTGTTCATTTATTGTTGTGGTTGTAATGACGCGCTGTATAAATATATACACACATATTCTTTGTTTTTATGTTAGGAAGTGGCAAACTTGTGGCTGGTGGTTCACCTGATGTTAAGTGATAACCCCCTGCCCATGGACATTTGCAACACCTGTAGGGTCACAGATACGTTCCCACCCTTTTAATAATGTGGACCCCGGCTACCTCACTCACCAGACGAAACACAGAAGTGCACCACTTCTACTTTACGGCGGTCTTCTGTGGGGTCGTGGTACTAACCCAGACGGACTTGCCCATTCGTGCAACAGCGAACACTGTTGCGTGGCCCTACCACCATATTCATAATAAACTGTCGATATCTTGTAATCGTTAGCTTCATATTATTGGATCTTTTGTCAAATAAAAAAAAATTCTGAATTTTTACATATTTGTATAAATTCCTGAAGTCTCCATTCTATATGTCATGTCAAACTTTATATTATGATACGTTATTTAAAATGTTTGCTGTTATTTTTCAGAAACATTGTTTCTACTGTTAACCTTAACTGCAAACTTGATTTAAAGAAGATAGCACTCCATGCACGCAATGCTGAGTACAACCCAAAGAGATTTGCAGCAGTTATTATGAGAATAAGAGAACCAAGAACCACGGCATTGATATTTTCATCAGGAAAGATGGTATGCACTGGTGCTAAAAGTGAAGAAGACTCCAGGCTTGCTGCTAGGAAATATGCTAGGATTATTCAGAAACTAGGCTTTACTGTAAGTATTTTTTATTTAAGGTGTTTTATGATGTATATCTTCAGGAGAGTTTCTGCCAATATGATCTTTAATATTTTAATTTTTTGTTGAATAAAGCGAAAATTGGCAATATAAACGCAAAAAAAGAGTTAATGGGCATTCAAGTACCTTCATGTCACTCTTCTTCTTAAAACATTTTTTGTTTGAATTTTTGAGCCTTTTATTATATTAAAAAGTACTTTTTTGGCAATATTGACTATACTCTTAGTCTGCCAGGAGGATGTAATGTTGTTGTATTATTTTCAACGGCTTTCCGACATACAGCAGAATTTTAATATATTTACCAGTATTAACTTTTTTATTATTTTCTATATTACCTAATATTGTATTTGTTATTTGCTTCATTGCGTTTACTAAAATTTTAATAGTTATTTTTCTACCTGTAATTTGAAAAATCTTGATGATTACCTTTATTTTTCCTTTTTTTAGGCAAAATTTCTGGATTTCAAGATTCAAAATATGGTTGGAAGTTGTGACGTAAAATTTCCTATTCGTCTAGAGGGCTTAGTACTTACACATGGACAGTTCAGTTCATATGAACCAGAGTTGTTTCCAGGACTTATTTACCGAATGGTGAAACCAAGAATAGTGTTATTAATTTTTGTATCCGGCAAGGTGGTGTTAACTGGTGCCAAAGTACGACAAGAAATCTATGAAGCTTTTGACAATATTTATCCTATTTTAAAAAGTTTTAAGAAGCAATAGTCTGTTTAAGTTAATTATCAGTGTTCTATAAGTTATTTTAAAAGCCAAGAAATATAATAAGGTATAATTATAATTTTTATGAAGTTTTTATTCAACTTGAAATATTTATATGTCAGAATTATCAAAGGTAGGAATAGAGAACTCATTCACATTGGAGTTTACTACATGATTTTAAGTTTTGTACTAATTTTTATAGGTTTCAAACTTCTGCAATATGTCTGTACTTGTCCACCAGTAAAAATTACACCAATTATATTACGGCGGTGTAATGGGTACTCGGAAACTCTCTGCGTACGAGTTCGATTCGCACTGGATCGGTATTTTTAACGATGGTAGAGCCACGCAGCAGTTATTAAGTTTTCGGCTATACGCATATAATTGCTGGCATCTTCCATATATTGTTTTTCCATTTAGTAAGGTGTCGCTACTAAATATATAGTAAATTACGATCGATGGACAAATTATTTGTTTGTTGTAAGATATTCGAAAATACCTGGTACTGTGGTAGGAAGGGCCATTTAGCATCTTCTGTGATTGCACTAATGAGTAGGCTCGTCTTGAGAAGTACCACGGTCACACAAAAGGCCAGCGTAAAGTGTTAATTCCACTTTTGCGATTATTTTGTTGAAAGTGGCAATTGTGGGTTTTGTATTGTATTGGACGTTGGTAATCACTGAACACATTGAGTGAACCACCGCCAGTTTGCTCGATATTTTCCCATTTACAATAAAAAATGGCGGTTTTCGTTATTTTACTTCGATATGAGCATCGTCTATTTCCACTATTAACCTTTAAATTTGGCAGAAAACACTTGAACAGATTTTAGGATCTGAGTCCGCTTAAATGCTTATTTGTAAAAGAAACCATTTTACAGCAATCAGTATTTTATTTTGCATGTCCGATGCCGCATTGCAACCTAACGCATAAAGCAATTAATTATTTCTTAAAGCTTTCTGTCAATCAATTTAGACATTTAAAAATAGGTATGTATTGTAATGTGGGTAACAAAAGTAATATTAATGTTTATGTTTAGGAACAACGTTGATAATTCAATGGAAAAAATCTGTAATTTAGTGTATTCTGTTTATAGCTGTAAATCCAATAGTGTTTCCAATACACATTTCTGATGCATACATCAGATTCGGCATGACGATTGCCATGTAAATAGTTACCTTTATAAGGAGCTTTATATCATGCGACCCGAACACCCTGAAACGAAGTTTGCCAAATGCTGTTGAAGTGGTTCCTATTCTGCAGTGAATTCGTTGTCAAGGTGGCACTTAGATGTAATTGTACTCACCAGGTACTTAAATTGCTCTACCTACGGATTGGACTTGACATTTATCTTAAGGCCAGATCTTATTGACAAGATTAATCTAGACTCGACATGAGCTGTTGAAGAGCATCTGGGGATTCCGTCACAAAACATAAGTCATTTGCCTAGATCATTTCGGCGACTATTGGACAGCGTGGGATACTTTAGTGCGCGCAATCAGCCGAACTAGGTTCAATATACCACCGTCGGTGTGACAACGAATACGGATGCCCTCAGGTAAACTTTGAAATGCCTCCCTGACTACTACTACTGTGAAGTATAAGGCAAATGGACTGTGTGGAAGAATGCATCTTTGCTTCACACCACAGATTACGGCGAAAAACTCCGATTGTTCGCCGTTGAAACTTACTTAGCATTGCATATTATCATGCACTAGTCGGATCGTCCTAGCAAACTTCTCTGTGCATCCTAGTTTCGCTAGTACCACTCTTAATGCTTTTTCAAGGTACACGGAGATACAGAGATACATTGGTTGACTTCAGCAATATGCTTCAAGCTCTTGAGAACGTCAAGTAATATGTTTTAGTAAGGTCGATACGGAAAGTGAGAGAGCGGACTTAACGGCTGTGAGTAGCGAAAGTCAATTGAAATCGGACACGGGGTGTATCTAGAAGAAAAGTATACACATCTCTAACATTTTTTGCCTGAGTACAGAAAGTAGAACGTTATCATAGGCGGCTGAGCTGTCTAAGAAGACTCCAACCAGATATTTTCTCTTAGAGAAGGCAATTTGAGGCAAGAATTTAAGGCTATACATGGTGTCTAATCCTTATCTGAAGCCGAATTGGCTTTGGGGTAAGACCTGTTTGTTCTTCAAGAACCACAAGGCGATATCTAGATGAATAATTTCGGTCTTAGCCCGGTTTGAATATAGGCAGGATTATTTGTGTTTTCCGCTCTTCAGGTGGTGTACCAAAAATTAAGATATGGTTATAAATTGAGATAATAAGGAATTTAGAGTCACTACCAGTTTTAGTTAAAAAATGTAAATTCTTGGAGAGAAAATGGTTAATTAAATTTACTTCTATGGTGACTAGGGGAACAAGAATAAGTGTGCAGGAGAAGTTATCAAGCCAGCCTATCATTGTCATCCATGATTGATTTCTCATCTTCAGACCAGTGTTTCTACAATGAGGGGAAATTCCACAATTTGAAATTAGGGTCCAGAGGGGGAGAAAAAGGGGAAATTGCGGGAAATCATGGGTAAAACGTAGCTTTAAATATTGCGGTAAATTTCGGAACTATTTTTTATGGACTCTACCGTGGACTAGCGTGTTGTCGTATAAAAGAAACAGTGACAACCTAAAATTGTTTTCTCTGAATCTGGGATTCCAAGCCGAAAACTTTTTTTGTTAATAAAAAAAGAATTATCAAGCTTTATTTTAAGCTAACATTTATCGAGACACAAAAATATTTGTAAGTGGCCCAAGCTCCATAATCTGTTGGTTCATTCTCCTTTTGACGATGATTTTGTTGACGTATTTAGTGTAAATAATATTATCATAGTATAGTGTCACAATAGGCGTAGGTAGGCTATAGAAGAAAATCGATAAATACTTTTTTTTAGTTACTAGAAACTACTACTAGGGCCAAAAGTAAAAACTACAGCAGAAAAAATTTTGAGAGGAAAAAAGCCCCGAGAAGGGGAAATTTGAATTGATGCGTAGGGAAAGGAAATCATTAAAGTGAGTACACTGCATCTGACACAAATTGAACTGATATAAGTTTCTTTTTTGAACAGTTGATAACACTATTCCTTTTCAAGTTTGAGTTTGGGCGGGAAGTCAAATAAGGCGCGGGCTTTTTATCTTTCCTCCTAAAATTATTATAATTTAACTCTTCAACTTTTCTTGGGAAAAAAAATCTTTTAACATCAAGATGGCCACCCCCAGCGATGGGGAGGAACAAGCAGATGGCACCAAAAAGCGGTAAAACCGGTAATACGTCGAGCACCCCTATTACTAATAAGTATGAAGTTTATACTAAAAACAACTATAAAAGGCAATTTATACGTTACAGTGGCATATTTTACAGTGGCATAGAAGGCAACGAAATAGTAGATAGTCTCACACATATAGATTCTGATGAAAACCATAGCGACATTTTAAAAGTTCCTTTCATAGATTTTACGGTGGTAGGGCCACGCAGCAGCCTCGGCTGTTGAACGAATGGGCAGGCCCGTTCGGGTAAGTACCAAGACCTCACAGAAGACCAGCGTAAAGTGGAGGTATGACAAATACTTTTGCGTTTCGTCTGGTGAGTGAGGTAGCCGGAGCCCAATTTTCAAAAGGTTGTCAACGCATCTGTAACCCTCGGGTGTAGTAAATGTCAATGGACGGCGGTATTCACTTAACATCAGGTGACCCGTTTGCTCCTTTGGCAACTTTTCGCATAAAAAAAAAGATTTCTAACCGTTTTTCCGTAATAACTTGTACAAATTATGGAAGGATTACTGGAATATCACAATACAGACTAAAGGAAAATGATTCGCAGATATTCAGAAGGACATACCAAGCATACCAACGGCATGAGAAGTTCAAATACAAAGTAAGCTCGATTTCCACAAATTTTACACGTAATAAACCGTCTTTTAGGCATTTTGAATTAAAAGTACAAGTCTTATCACCTGTCACTTGTTTTCGTGAGAAATTATAGTCTAAACAATTTAAATCTACAAGGAAAAAAGTATTTACATTCAAATTACGCGGTTCGAAATGAAGTTTTGACAAACAACATGGCACTTCTTGTATTGCAAGAAAGAGAAATCGCATTGAGGGAGTGCGATAGCAATATCCGCCATTATTTGCCGCGTAAAGTCCATAGAAAATTTTTTAGTTCCTTGTTTCGCCAGGATGCTGTTATTGTTGGTTAGCGAATTTTTAATGTAAATGCCCTTTTTTAGTTTTCAAATATGTAAATTTATGTAAATTTAAGTTTATGTTAAATGTATGTTGATAGTTGATTTGAAGATTCCGAATTTTGAAGGTTATTATTTTATTTAAAAATTCATTTTCGTTTGAATATTTAATTTCATTACAACAATAAAATTTTTAATAAATTAGCAGAAACTGTTTTTTATTTTATTTCGGGTCCGCATTTAAGTCCAATCTTGTATCATTACCAAATGGGGATATTTCATCAACATTGGACATAAATACGGACTCGATACTCACCTAAAATTAATAAAAAAATATTAAGAGGAAACCTCGGTTTCTAGCTAGAATATTTTAACAATATCGATAAGAAGCTAAGCTAGCTTGGTTAAGCACTATTTGGCTCGTTACGTTGGTACTCTTATTTGACATCTTTGTGGTATGGTTGGTATTGGAGTGCCGCGTAAACTGATATTTTTGGTTATGGAAGTCCCGTTAAACGTAGTCATTACCACAGAATACATTACTAATATAGAGCCATCAGTCTACTCGTGAGACAGCGCCATCTCTTGATGCGGGACCGAACTACAAGTTCAGATGTTCAAGACATAACAGTTGAGAGCTGTATTCAAGTACAATTTTCTATATAGAAAACTGTAATTGGATACAAGCTTGCTAGATGTTATTTTTGGATAAAATAAATAAAATACAGAAATATGTTTTGCGAACTTTATTTCGCTTTTTTTTAATATTCACTCGCTATTTTTTTTTATAATCTTTGTTATCAATGATTTCGAGTCTGGTGCAGTTTAGTAAATTATTTACGTTTAATTATTTTTGGCTATCCAAAATTAGTAAATTTCCTCTAATCGATTGAATCCATGTTTTATCTGTCACTATCCTTTTCAAGTGAGGAAAAGAATGTAAATTTGCGTTGCAGTCTTTACCTGTAAATACAATATTAATGTCGTGCCGTAACGTATAACAAAAATGAATAAGATAAATGGCTGAAATTACCTGCTAAAATCCACTGTTTAAAAAAAACTTCCTAAATGAAAAAAGTCACCTTTTTAAAAAAATTATCTAACAAGCTAGAATAATTATCGCAAAATTTAATTATCTGGGTAATCAAAACTGTTTAAAATATATATATTTAAAAATTAACTTAATTAATATACTTGACCTTGAACATTATTCATTGACTTGAAAAATATTTATACGAATTAAATACATTTTATTGTGACGTTATAATCATTTTCAGACAATAAATAATGGGAATAAGTATCCTTCAATTATAAAAACCTTTAAATCCATTGTGTTTTTCCCACTTAGCTGCATATTTTTGAACATATTCTATGGCAATTTTCTCACCATTTGGCATTTCATATTAATTATTAAATGAATTTAATATACAGCTGTCGTTACCCCCGCGACAATAAATGAACACACATATAGAGGATAACTTTTTAAAATTGTATGAAACATTTACATTCTTTAAACATCAATATTTACCGAGTTATTAAATTTTCCAAAACAAAGAATTTTAGAACACCCTTACGTATAAAAGTGCAACGTAAAGTCATTTGTAAAGGTCACAAAGCATATGAATGGGTTGAATGAATTTAAAAGAGACAAAACATACTGTTAGAAGGAGAGGCGTGTAATACGACGCAGTGGCGCGAGTTGCATAGGATGTTACAAATTTTGTTTCTTTTTTACTGAACTAGTTTGTTTGAAAAATATTTTTTTCTAATTATGGATTTTGTTTAACGTTAATATTTTTTTATGATTATTGGCAAGTAGCGTTAGACGTGTGTTCATTTATTGTCACGATGGTAACGACACGCTGTATTATGAGTAGCCGTATATTCACAATAAGAGTTTATGGCGGAAAAATTTAAAATACTTCATAGGCCAATGCTGCCAATACTAATACATGATATTTTGTGTTCAATATTGTGTGATTTTTATTTAAAAAATGTGATTAAAATTTTATTCCTAAAAAGATTCCTAAAAAAATTGTATTGTAAATTTTTCTTCCTAAATTTAGGAAGAAAACTTCTAAGTTGGCATCCGTGCCGCAGTTACGTCGGTAACGTTCCTTTACACTATTTAAAATTACTTCCACCATTTTGCTTAGGTAGTTGTTTTCTTTCAAATTAATAATTTTTGTGTAATAAAATACAATTATCTCCAAAATAAGAACCAAAAATATTTTTTTTATTAGTTTATTTTAACTTAAAATAAAATTTTGTTTTTATTTAAAGGTACCATAGTTAAAATGGTTTTGCATTTAAAACAATGCCATCTGTTTTTGACGGATGCAACTAAATGGAGTGAGCAAGCTCCATACAAATATCAAATGGACTGAAAAGACCGTGGTGATTACATTCTCTTTCTTTAGGTTAGCGAAATGAGTGATATTTGTGAACGGAACAAAATAAATAAGCGTTCCCCGCCTCAGGAATTGCTTAGCAACGCAGATTTCTAGTTACCATTATACAATTTTATAGAAAAAATTTAGTTTAAATAAATATTATAAATTATTAATTAGAAATAAGTTTTTAATCTTCCTTTTTCCGATTTATCATCCTTTGTTAGCTATAAATTTTATCTTTTATTTTATATCTTTTTGAAATTCTCTCTTTTTTTTTGTAAATTGTAACTCTTTGTTTTATATTATGTTTACGACTGAAGGACTGGTATCCATGGTCATTAATAAATTTTTAAAAAATCAAGTTTGAGTCAAAATTGTCAAACTGTTTGACAGTTGGCGAATGTCATTGGCGAATTCCACGCGTTATATAGTCTAATTTTGAAGATTTGAAAACAATTTTTATGAGTGTATATTAAATTTGTTAGCTTTCGAAATTGGAAAAGATGGCTGAAACAATGAAACAAACTGTTGCGAGTATACTCAAGAGCATTGAAAGGTAAAATTGGTATTTTTAAGTTATCTTATAATACCGTTGTTATTTAATTTTTCATTATATCTATTAACGGGCTTTGAAGAATAGCTTTGAAGAATCATAGTATACAACTTTAGACCATTTGAAAAAAAATATTACAGTTTTAATTAATGATTTTCTACTATCACGAGTTATTTTTTTTAAGTCTGGCTTGTTGGGGTTATGTTCTTCGTTATAAAAAGTAGAGTAGCCAAATCTAAAATTTTTAATTACTTAGTTTTAGCACATATAAAATATAATACTTAAAAAAATATTTTTAGATATAATCCAGCAAATTTGCAGACCCTAGAAAGATATGTGGAAATGCAATCTAGGGAGAATACATATGACCTAGAAGCAAATTTAGCGGTTTTGAAACTTTACCAATTTAATCCTGAGAAATTTAATCCTGACATTGCTTGTCAGATATTGTTAAAAGCATTAACTAATTTTCCGCATACTGATTTTACTTTATGCAAGTGTCTCCTGCTTGAATCAGTAGTAAGTATTTCAACTATAAATATTCTTGTAAAAATCTTTGTAAATAATTATTTATTTCATATAGTGAAGATGAATCATCATCTTATTTTGATAAATTTTTATGTTAATAATGAATTTGAAATAAATATTGTCTCTTACTTAAGTTTTTTTATTTTTGTAATGTTTTGAGTTCTATATAACTTATGTTCAATAAAAATGAAACATATGTTCTGTATATACTATATATTTTATTTATTTATTTATTTTATACGAAAAGTTGTCAAACGAGCAGACGGTTCACCTGATGTTAAGTGAAGACCGCCACCCATGGACATCCGCCACACCCGAGGGTTACGGATGCGTTGACAACCTTTTGAAAATTGGGCTCCGGCTACCTCACTCACCAGACGAAACGCGAAAGTATTTGTCATACATCCACTTTACGCCGGTCTTCTGTGAGGATGTGGTACTTACCCGGGCAGGCCTGCCCGTTCGTGCAACAGCCGAGGCTGCTGCGTGGCCCTACCACCGTATATTATGTCATTAATTATTATAGTAATTATCTTGTTTATTATGTTTAAAAATATTCAAGTTTGATGCTTTGATTTTCCAGTCAGAAAATGAAACTATATCTCAGATAAAGTATTTGGCGGACATCTTAGAGCAATGTGACTTTGCTCAATTTTGGAATAGAGTGCATCAAATGCCTGAATTGTGCAACCGCATAAGCAGCTTTCATGATTCTATTAGAAAGTTTGTGTGCCATGTTGTTGGAATAACTTTCCAAACTATCGACAAAAACAATCTGGCAAATCTCTTAGGAGGAATCGATGGTGTGTAATTTTTTGATATAAATTTGATTTACATTTTCTTTCTCTTTTCTAGAATTATTTCAACTTTAGACAAAACATTGGGTAATTAATGTTATGGAATTGCATGTTTTCACTTAAAATATTTTTAATTATTAGATTAAACTTGAGAGTTAATGCAAAACAATTCATCATTGAGTATGTCTACAAGTAGTGTTTTTTTTTTCACATTCTGTTTAATTACAAAAATATTTTCAATTTCAGATGTAACACTCAAACATTGGGTTAAGAAATATGGTTGGAGGGATGATGGTAACCTAATCTTTATTGCTAATCAAGATGAGAATATTAAGACCAAGAACATAACCGAGAAGATTGAATTTGATCATCTCGCACCTCTAATGACCATTTTGTAAAATTTATATAAATATATATTAAACATTAATTGGTTGTAAAAGTGTTAATTTTTTTCTTTGGTTAGACTGCATTCTATGTTATATTTGACGGATGCTGAATTTCTATAAGAGTTATGATGTTATATATTGATGGAGCCATAAAACTAAAATTGGAATTGGAATTGGAAGAGTTATGATAAATGACCAGTTCGTGTTAGAATTTGTCATCTTATTAAAGAAAGATGAATGAATGTATATTCATTTTATTGTCAACCAAAATAAGAGTGTACACAAAAGTAACAATAGAGCAACAAATTTATGCAATGTACAATTTGGGGGCCTTATCGCTTCATAACAATATCCTCCAGGCAACCAATGGCATAAAGGAAACGTATGTACGTAGGTGGTGCAATAGGAATATACATAATATATGATTAAAGCAGATACAATTATACATACGAATATACACATGGATAGATAATGGAGTAATATAAATTATATTTTTTTAATTTATGTAAATTTATTATATTTTCCTTAAATAAGCTCGCTTTTATTGAAAATGAAAAATAAACTTAAAGATTGTCACTAGCAGTAAAAATAATCATAAAATGTTATAGGGAAGACGTTATATCTAGTGATTGAACTGCGTTAGCGTGTTGTAAATAATGCACACTAGATGGTGTCAAGCATTACTAAAACAGAAATAAAGAAAGTAGATAGATTTATATTAAGTATATGGATTGCAAGGTGACGATCAGAGAGCATCTGGGCGTCTTATTCGGAAGAGGCAGGCTCAAAACCTGCTGCAGCACAATAAATTTCCCCTGCCACTTTATCTTAAGTTGGTAAACCGCCTTTTTATTTTTTTGAGGGAAAATCCTTCATGGAGACCATAAAATTTTCTTCAAAATTCTCTTAATGCCGAGCTTTGTTATGATCTGGGAGTGACAAAATATCTCCAACTTTATTTGTTTTATATTTACAATCGTAGTTGCTTGGTACATTGATTATAAAACTGTTTTCAGGCTGTAGGGGTATTCATTATGTTTACGTAAGTAAAATGAGTGAAATAGAGCGTGACAATGTTTCTTGATCAGTTAATTTAAAAAAGGAACGCTCGAAATATTTATCTGATGCAATACACTATAAAAAAAACTTATTTTTATTGTAGCTTAATTAAAAATAAAGTCATATATATATATATATAACAGTTAATTTATTACATTAACAACATAGACTTGTTTAGAACAAAACAACAAAAGATGAGACAAATTAAATTTTCAAGCTTTCTTTCCGTGACTGTAACCATGCTCCTTTCCCCCAGCATGTCCACCTTTTTTACCATAATCATGATGATGGGCATGATGTTCCTCGTGACCGTGGTGGCCTTTGTGGCCCTTATGGTCTTCGTCGTAATGCCCCTTGTCGTGTTTGCCCTTCTTACCATGATGTTTCTCATGGTGGCCTTTTTCGTGGTGTCCACCCTTTTTGTGGTGGCCATCTTTCTTGTCATGATGTCCGTGGAAGTCGCCGTGTTTGTGATGATGGCCACCCTTATGGAAGTCGTCGTAGAACTTGTGTTCTTTATGATATTCGTCTTTGTGCGATTTGTGGTGGAATCCAGTCGTCTTGGAGCCTTTCTTGTGTCCCTTTTTATGGCCAAACTTACCACCTTTATGCCCGTGAGCGGCTTCGTGATGTTCGCCATGATGATCATGCTCGTCGTGGTGTTTCTTTTTATGTCCTCCATGCTCGTCGTGGTGACCCTCGTGATGATGCTGCTCTTTGTGGCCATGCTCGCCTTTATCGTGATGATGATGAGACTTATAACCCTTGTCCCCCTTTTCGTCGTTCTCCTTGTGGTGGTGTGCATGGTGTTCGTGGCCGCCGCCAGATTCTTGGTGACTGCTTTTTGCTTCCTTTTTCTCAGTGCCTGCGGGTGTCTGGTCTAAGTTTCCATGGCTTTCAGTGATAAGGCCAGCGGCCGTCAGTTTCGATTGGTGCTTTGTTTTCTCTTCAGTGCCGGAGAGAGCAAAATTTCGAGCTTGCGATGAAGCTAGTGTCCATGCCAGCAACACCGTCCATAATAACAACCTCATGTCTAAAAGGAAACACACGAGTTTACTTAATTATTGTAATATAAAGCAAAATATTTTTATTGAATATTTATGTTTATTGGACTTACCAAGAGCCGCGAATAGTAGTACGGTTACGTTAGCTCTGCTACAAACGCTTCCGCACTTTGAATTTATAGATAACATCGCTTTCATCTTTGCCTTATTACAGCGCGATCTTTGGCAATAATATTGCTGCAGATTTCTGGCCGAGTGGTTTTGCGTCCGATAGTGACAACACAGTTTGTGGTTCCAATTAAATTTGTTCCGTTAAATCGTTTGCCAATAAATTAAATTAATTTCACACAGTTGTAAAAAGTATAACAAATAAAAACATTAAAGCTATATGTACGTAAAAGATTTATTTAAAAAATAATAATTGTTTATTTACAACGAGGTAACTTGAGCTTAACAAACATAAAAAAAGGAATGTCTTAAAATTAAGAGAATCAGTGCTTGCCGTGGTGGAATCCCCAATGTTTATGGTCTTCGTGTCCGCCTTTCTTGCCATGGTCATGGTGATGATGGTGATGTTCTTCATGGCCATGATGACCTTTATGTCCTTTATGGTCTTCATCATAGTGGTGCTTGTCATGGTGGCCCTCTTTACCGTGATGGTGCTCATGGTGCCCGGAATGATGATGGCCTCCCTTTTTATGATGGCCGCCATGTTTCTCATGATGTCCGTGATGTTTACCATGCTTGTGATGTTTACCCTCCTTGTGGTGGTCGTCGTAGAAGTGGTGGTCCTTATGATACTCGTCCTTATGGTATTTCTTATGGTACCCTTCGGTTTCCTCGCCTTTGTCGTGATGCTTCTTGTGGTGGTGTTTCCCGCCCTTGTGATGATGACCGTGCTCGTGGTGCTTCCCGTGGTGCTCGTCTTCGTCCCAGTGTTTCTTATGGCCACCGCCGTGCTCATGGTGATGTCCGGCGTGGTGGTGCTTGTGATGATCACCGTGTTCGCCTTTGTGATGATGGTGGTGTCCTTTGTGGCCTTTGTGGCCCTTTTCACCGTGCTCGTGGTGATGGTGTGCGTGGTGCTCTTTACCGCTACCTTCTTCGTGGTGGTGGCCCTTATGGTGACTGGCGGCCGTTATTAGGTCGCTTTCTTTCTGGCCGATTTCGCGGCTCGAACAAACGGCTATAAGGCATCCCAAAAGGGCAAGGGCGACTAGCGTCCTCATATTGAATGTTCCGTATTGAAACCAGCTCAAGTTTAATGGTTGAATAATAAGACTGCACTGATTGTAGATCGTTTTGTGAGTGCATTTTATATCTATCATTAAGGTGGTTGATTGCAGGTGGTGAAATTGCCAGACAAGGACACCACGGCGAACGGAACGCCTATATCTTTTAGCCGTTGCGACATTTTCTCGGGCTGGAGGGCTTACTTTTATTGTGAAGTTGCACTCAAACCGAAAATAGAAAAATATTTATTAGATTAATAATATAGTTAAATTATAAATAAATGAGTTAAGATTAAAGAAGATAGTTAAAAACAAGGTTTTGGACATTCAAACTTCCTAGCTTTACAAAAATTTGAATCGTATATAAAAAATAGATATTTCTAAACCATTAAACGTCTAGATGGATTCAGGAAATATGTTTATAACATAATTATAGTATACAATCTTACTTATAAAATTAACTCGAGAACCACTATTATCTGTTATGTTATACCACGACTGTGTTAGTGTTAGATATAGGGGACAAAATATAATCAGGAACGAAAAAATCGTTTTGGCTCTCTGTTACATACATTCAAGTTTCATCGTCAAGTTTCATCTTTACAAGAAGACCTTCGAAATTATAGAAAGATCTAAACGCCTATGTCTTTTAGCCGTTGCGATATTTTCTCGGGCTGGAGGGCTTACTTTTATTGTGAAGGTGCACTCAAAACGAAAATAGGAAAATATTTACTAGATTAGTAATATAGTTAAATTATATGAGTTAAGATTAAAAAAGATAGTTAAACACAAAGTTTTGTCCATTCAAACTTCCTAGCTTAACAAAAATTTGAATCGTACTTATATAAAAAATAGATAATTCTAAACCATTAAACGTCCATATGTATTCAGGAAATATGTTAATAACGTAATTATCGTATACAAACTTACTTGTAAAATGAACTCGAGAACCACTATTATCTGTTATGTTATACCACGACTGTGTTAGTGTTAGATATAGGGGACAAAATATAATCAGGAACAAAAAAATCATTTTGGCTCTCTGTTACATACATTCAAGTTTCATCGTCAAGTTTCATCTTTATAAGAAGACCTTCGAAATTATACAAAGATTTCAATTATTTAGGAAGAGAGAAGTAAAAACAAAAAAATATAGACATAATATGCCTTTTAATTTGCTTCAATAATGTAATATGAAACCACTGTAAAACGATTTTTATTGTGGGAGTTGCATTTTACCGTAAAATAGATTCGACTCAATGCCCTTCCTGTTGAATGGGCTTTCGTTCATTTACAACTACTAGCTGCTGCCCACGACTACGACTGCGTAGAATAGGCTGAAAGCGTACTACGTAATAAGCGACAGAAAGACAGATATACATAAAATATGTATAAAAATTATGTTTTATTCTGATTTATAAGCTATATTATTGTCATTTAAATCCATTCAGTAGCATTTGCGCGAAAGAGTAACAAACATCCTTCCATACATACAAACTTTCGCGTTTATAATATTAGTAAGAAAGTTTATTTGCTCCGAATCGAGTTCTCGATAGCAAAATTATGTTAGTAAAGCATGGAATACGTAATATACTACTGTATTTCTAGACATACTCCCAATTGAAGAATTGAAAAAAAAAAAAAAGATCTGTTCAATACAGTTTATTTTGATACATTCAATGGATTAATATTATTCTTTGCCTTTTAGCAAATGTTCCATTTAATTTGACATATCAAATCTTAGGTATAAACAATTGTTAACAAAAAGAAATTCCAATTCAGTAAATATTTCAAATTAGGTACGCGCACTAAATTAGGATATTGTTTAAAAGAATATTGAATGAAATTGAACTCGAAAGTATTTCATTTTCTATCTTTACTTGCTTTGACTTAAACGAAATAAAATTGCGAAAAGTTGAAAACGACTGTAAGATGCATTTCTTAGCTATCTACTTTTTTTTGAGGAAAGATACCTTCAATAACCGTTTAATACCTTCATTTATTCTAATGGCTTTCTACTGGCTACAGTCGTGTCTCCGTATTGTTTTCGTGAGTCGATCAGGTTATGACCATTTCTTAATAACATATTTATTAAAGTTTACGAACAATTGCAATATGTCTCACGAACTAATAAGGTATACGTAATGTAATGTAGTGTATCATAATCTATTACAGGTAAAAATGTAGAAAATCAATGAAAACATAAGCAAAATCATTTTGTGGTAGAAATCTAAAAAAGATCCAAACTACTGCCATTTGGTTAATTCTATAGAGTAAACGTTGATAATTGTTATATATGATCATAATCATAGTTTAGTTTAAATCGAAGTTGACATCAAATATTGCGCAGTCTATCAATACCTTCATCTCTGCGAAGAATTGTTTATATACACGGATGTTTATCAAATTGGACATCCATAAAAAATATTCATATGTTAATTTTTTAACTATTGATAAAATATTTGGAAATTAAAACAAGATCATGGTAAGTTTGAGTAGTTAATGAATAATTCAGGATATGTTTCCGAATCATTAGGCTCACTTCTTGGAACCACTATTTGTAGATCAGTAAAAGTGTCTAGAGCAAATTTTGGCTAGTGAAAGGTTCGAATCCACGACATTCCGCGCAATGGCAGTTGTTGCGGTGACCATTAACCGCCCTTTGTGCTATAAGGGGATTCTATAGCCTGTCTGTCACCATTAAAAAGTCACATCTCATACACACGATCGAAACTATTCTGGTGTCATGAATGTCTTTCATTTGCGGTGGTAATTTGCCATTATGTAGGCCCGATGGTAAGTTACTGCCCAGCTTGATCATTCGTTACCTATTTTTTGAGCCGTGATAGCTTATTGTCCAGGAGGTCACTCTTAATAAACTCGAGCAACCCGAGTTCAATCCCCGATGCCGTCACCAATGAAATTGTAAATTTTAAGTGTTATCTTTTTATGTGCTATGCCGTATAGAAAAACTAATAACAAAACACATATTTTCGAAATAATAACAAAAAGAATATTTCGATAAAATGTGAAATCCGCCAAAGCGGAGTGGGGTCGCGTTGTTACTTTCCTTTTTTCTACGAAGGAAAACATCCCAATAGCTTCTGCTAATGTACGTATGGACAAGTTTATTCGGAAAAATACATCTCACAGAAGAGCGAAAGTACTATATTTTTGTATGTCATCTGATGTCTTGTAGCATTTATTACATCAGACCTGCACGCTTGGCACTTCCTCAAAGCAAAATAAAAAAAAAAATGTATAATGTTAAAAAGTTATAGTAATAGAGTAAAGAAATTGTATTACGTCGACATAGGACCCAGATGTGTGTGCGAGTTCGAATTTTATTTGCATTCACAATTAGTTCATCGCTTGATGAATTCGAAAGTGAATAAATAAGAACCTATAAGCACCACAACGTTTTCACATTTATAAACACACGAGTTCATTATCCCTAAATCAGCGTAGTATCAGATAGGTAGATTAGGCTTGCTTATTGAAAACGACATCAAATTTTTTTGGAGTGAAAACGATAGGTAGAACAAAAATTAGCATATTAAAATTGGCTTTAACAATTTATTTAAGGTACGGGCTACATGCTGTTCAATGAAAAGTGAGTATCCCAACTGCTTCGACATATTGTTAAACTCTTGTGACGGCGCGTAGTGGAGCATTATTTTGCATTAGAATAAAAATATTTTTAGTTAAAATTTTTATTAGTTGATGATTAATAATATTCATATACATATTCGTATATGCGCACACATTATATATATAATTTTTATATTAAAAATTTTCCTATTTTTATTAACTTTAAAGGAAATTTTTTTATTTCTTATATTCACTTTTCGGTTTAGCACCTGCCATCTACTTCTCACCATGACAAGGGTTGACTGGTAGAGAATGCCATTAGGCATTAAGTCCTCCCATTGTAGCCTTAAGCCTAAGTGTAACAATGAAGTATAAATTAATAAATAAACAAAAATTATCGCATATGAATCCGACGACAAAATCTTTTTAAAGTAGCGATCTGACGTCATACCACCTTTATTGCCGTTTCGATGGACCTAGTCGAGGAACACACGTTCGGTTATATACTTATAGATACCATTATACTTCGACGGTAGACTCTTTTGCGACCATCAGCACCATAGAAACATGTCCCATCTAAGTGTTCAAGTGGAAACAGTAAGTGGTCTTGTCTGTGAGCTGTAGACAACTTTGGTCCATTATCTGGTCTAAAAGGCGTGATACCTCTCGTAGTGTTCTTCTTTTTGTCCGTGCTCTTACAGTTACATCATGTACTTCATTTAGCTCTTGTTTAATGTTAATTGAAGTTAAAAAACAATTTCGCAGAAAAAGTTTTCTCAATAAAGCTGTCACGAGGGATAGTCCATGTGAAATTTATGTTTGTAAAACGTTCTTACCACACAGAATAATATTATCCTAAAGATATAAATTTACTAGAATTCTGCCCTAATCACGTCTTCCCATGTAAGAAATTTTCTCTATGAATCTTCTTTATTCACGAGAAACCATAGATTAGTTTAAATTTAAATTTCTAGAAATCGTTCTTTGATTCAAGCCTTCAGGCACCAGTGCCACAAGTACGGTAAAGAAATAAATATAAATGAGTATACAATAATTCAATTGGTAAGGATTCCACTCGCAGATTTAAAATAAATGTATTACAATCAAAAAAAGAAAAAATGTATAAAAATAAAACATTAGGTACCTTAATAACGCGCAAATCTGATGTTAAAGGAAAATTTCAATCATTTGTATTCTGATCGTTCCATTTTTGAATTTTTTTAATAATTATTACGAGTGAGACTTAATTAACTAGTTAGAGGTGAAATCGGTAAAGCCTTATTCTTTTGCTAAAGCTTCGTGGTGCGCGTAATCACCATACATATACAATGAAAGAATCTTCGTTCCAACCTGATGTTCTACGATACCTCACGTCTTTTGTTTTTATGTAAAGTATTCCTCACAACCAATAAAATCACAATGTTATAATGACGTTTGTTTAATTTTCTTGAAAAACATAAAAATAACAACAACAATGTGAAATTTCGGCAACAATAACAAGAAATTGGTATTTGTTAATATATTTCTAATGTTTCCCATGATGGAAACCCCAGTCTTTGTGATCTTCATGACCACCCTTCTTACCATGACCGTGGTGATGGTGATGGTGCTCGTCGTGACCGTGATGGCCCTTATGGCCGTGATGATCCTCGTCGTAATGATGTTTGTCATGGTGACCATGTTTGCCATGATGGCCTTCATGATGACCGGAATGATGATGTCCTCCCTTTTTGTGGTGGCCACCGTGTTCATCGTGATGACCATGATGCTTGCCGTATTTGTGGTGCTTGCCTTCGTCGTGGTGGCCGTCGTGGAAGTGATGGTCCTTGTGGAAGTGGTCCTTATGGTACTTCTTGTGGTATCCATCGGTGTGCTCGCCCTTGTCGTGGTGTTCATGGTGACCATGTTTGCCGCCCTTGTGGTGGTGTCCGTGCTCGTGGTGCTCGCCGTGATGATCGTGTTCATCCCAATGTTTCTTGTGACCACCTCCATGTTCGTGATGGTGCCCCTCGTGGTGGTGCTTGCCGTAGTGGCCTTCGTCGCCCTTGTGGTGGTGGTGATGGCCCTTGTGACCCTTGTCTCCCTTGCCGCCGTGTTCGTGATGATGGTGCTCGTGGTGATGATGCCCACCGCCATGCTCGTGGTGGTGGCCCTTGCTCTCGGCTACAGCGAGATCAGACTCGGGTTCGTGGGCGACACATGCCGCCGCAAGGCAGAGCACTCCTAACACCAACAAACCCTTCATGTTTGCCAGAGGACTTCTTCGATTGTTTGCTATCGGAAGTCCGGCTGTGACTGACCTCCGATCGTGGAATGGCTGTTTTATATTAGTAACTTAATAGACTTTAAAAGCGATGTAGAAATACACAGCGCAATCGGCAGCTGCACTAGTTCATGGACTATTAGTGAAAAAGTTAAAGTATCTATTTGTTTGACGATGTTTAAAAAAGATTTAAGCAGAAGTGTTTGCATTTGTAAAGAGATTTCTGGATCAAAATACGAATGAACAAATGATAAACAATCACCCAGGAAAGGATATGAAGAAATGTATTGAAGACACAAATTAGGAATCGATCTGTTAGCGATAAAGAAACTGGAGTATGGCAGAAAGAGCACTCTCTGTAACAAAGATTTTTTTTCTATTTATTGGAAGTGCATGGAATAATTATGTCGTCCCATTAAACTAAAACTCAGGTTCTTTAAACTCTAACATATTGCACTTAAATGAGTTAATAACTTCTACATGTTGAGTAAATCCTACCTGCGTGTAAGAGAAAATTATAAATCATCCATGTCTATCAATGGAGTGTTTGTATCTTTCAGGCTCGACCGTTTCAAGCATAACCAATGAGTAAATGGAGGCCTGATTGACAGCTTACAAACTTGAGTCAATCGAAAGTTATCTGCTTAGTGGATCCATTCGCGTACGAAACACCGCTGTTTGGATAGCGTTAAACAATTCTTCCGAACGACTAGCCGCGTTGAATACGAGCCCTTGTTGGTTTATGCGCGGAACCGACGCTCCTCGGCGTATCTGTTTGGCCATTCAGTTTGATTATGCATGCTTATGGCTTCATCACGGCCCTTTGATTACAATGGATTAGCACATTCCTGTGTTGTTAACACAGCCGATCGATATGATATTTTTTTGAACGGATGTTTCTAAAACTTGACGTGATTAACTTACGTGTAATTTTGCCCAAACGATAATAAAAGTAATGTTTAAATATTGTTTTAAGGAAATTGGTGCAGTTTTTTTCTAAAATTGTTAAATAAGTTAGTTAATTTACTAATATTATTTTGATTTCCATTGCTTGTCGTAATTGGTTTCAAAACCCAAAGGAAAAAAAAAAAGAAGTATGTATTCATCAGTAAATAATTTTACTACATTTATTTATTAGGTTCCCTTTTGTGCATGGAACAATAACTATTGTTCGGAATAAGTTCATGATCGATACGGTCTAGTGAGCACTTTTCTAACAAGCCCGCTTTCAAGAGAGCAGATTTCAAGGCTATATAATAAGTCTATAAACACTTAAACAATATTAAATATCTGACGAGAAATCTCACATTTTATATGATATAAACAATGTTCAATAGGTTAGACAAAATAATCGCCTTATGGAAGAGTTATGTTATTCGTTTTCGTTTAGGCGGTCGCTGAAATAAAATATATTTTTGAATTATTGCTAGTTAGAAAATCCGGTACAATTATTAATAAGTAGAATTATAACTAGTACAATAGGCATATCAAATGTGTTTTTTGAATATTTACTTGACGAATAATTAAGTACCATGTTGCTGGGCTTCTAACTCTCACTCTCAGGGACCACAATTATATACTTATTTTTTATAATCGTTACATATTTTCATATTTAAATTAAACTTATTTACGTATATGACTAATACCCTTTGTACAGAGGAGGCCTTTGCTCAGTAGTGGAACATGTATAGGCTGATGATACTTTACGTATATGACTTCAGTCTGTAAATGTCAGTTCTCGTTGTAGTTGTATCATTAATTATGAGGAGTTTTAATCCTGTAGTCTTCTTCCTTCTTCTGCCCTTCCCAAAGTTTGATTAGCAGCTGCTTAGCTTAACAAACTTTTAGTGTTCCTGTATACCATTATCACTTCAATCTCACTTTAATTCAAGTATTCATTCTCATTTCAATCTTTTACAGCTCACTACTCTAAGGTCTTTTCAAATTATGATCAGGTTCGGCCATGTTGGGCAGAGCGCATTCAGCTATTTTTAGGGTGCCTTCCAGTCGGAAACCTCTTTTGCCCAAAAAATTTTATTTATAAAATCAACAACAATAATTTTTATTATGTACCAATCAATGCAACTAGGTTTAAAAATCACAAACCTTTTAAAATGAAATTATACCCATTATTAGCGGCTAAGCCGTATATACTGTAGCGTTATTCTTTTTGTATTTCGTTCATTGTTATCTCTTATCCTTTAAACGAGCAATTCTTGTATATTTATATATATATAATCGGAATCTCGGAAACGGCTCCAGCGATTTTCATTAAATTTAGTATGTGTGTAGATTCGGGGGCGAAAAATTGATCTAGCTAGGTTTCATTTTTAGAAAATGTTCTTTTATCCCTGTTTTCAGGGAATGAAAAATATCATTCGAATACGACGGTAAATTTCGCCGCAAAAAAAATGTTATAATAGCTCGGTCGGTAATCGGGCATCCCCGAAACAGAAGGCCGTGGTTCGTGTCACGATCATTTACTCATTTATCTTTTACTTTTTTTTTTTCGATTCCAGATCATTGTTTCCTTTATTTTTAATTTTTTGTCGATTTGTTATTTTGTTATTTTTTTCCCTTCTTTTTTAAAGTTCTTTCTTTTGTGAAAAACATCAGTTCATATTATTACGTCGGTAAGATCGAAAAATATTATGCATATTTCATTACTCAATAATTTGTATCTAAATGTAATTTCCAAAACACACGATTTACCAAAAAAAAAACAAACCGAGCAAAGCTCGGTCCTCCGGGTACTTCTATTTATGTTTCAGTTGATAACTTGGCGATCCTTGATGTATTATAGGGCAGCGACAACTTATTTATTCACTTTTCAATTGTATTGTCTGTAGAAATTTAGGTAGGAAATATTTGTTCTATTATGAGTATTCAATTTCAATGATTTTCTCTGGTCTATGAGCAAACTTTTGCTGTCATACTGGGTAGTAATATCTCGTAAATAATCGGTTTCAACAACTTATGCACTTACTGCATCGAGGGCGTCACACTTACCGAGTATTATTCGCTAAGAAGCCTTAGCCCACTACATCACACAATCTTGTTAGCCTGCACTACGATAATGCTATTACCTTTGTAATTCTATATTTTCTTCGATTGAATTACTTACTTACTTACCCACATTGCTAGAGTGTTACGTCTTCCTTACAACCTAAGTAAACATAGCTGTTGTCATGTTGTATGGAATAAATTAAAGTATTTTTTTCATTTGTATATTTTTTTAAAGTAATGCAACCATGCAATCAATGCGTCTCGGCTAACTCAATGTTAGTTTATTGATAAATATCAGCCTTAAATATTGACTTTATTGTAAAATATCAGCTGGATGGGAGGCAACAAAATCTTTAAAGGCATTTTGTACCGACTCTCAGTAATTGAATTTTTTACCCGCTAAAAAGTTTTCCAAAATTCGTCCATCCATTTTTCGTCGCACCTAACAATTCGCATCAAAATCCCTTCACATATCTGTGACCGTTGAGTAGCGCGAGGCAGGTCTCGACGCGTACGTTGCGCTGGCGATCGTTAAGTTCGTGGGCCACCCATCTGCCAAGCTCTCTTATCTTGCCAATTTGTCCCAAATGGACCAATATTGTTTTGATGCTAACATCATAAGCTGCTGCTAGCTCGGCTATAGATTGAGTATCATCAGCTTCCACAATCGACTTTAATTCATCATTATTGGTCAAAGCGTCCAGATGACTATGAGGTTCATTTTTCAAGTCAAAATTTCCAGAACGGTATCAGCCAAACAGTAACGGGTTGTGCGTTCGTTTTTAAAGTTCTCTCCGTAAACGTTGTTGATGTTACGTGCTGTTTGTGTCGCGTTGGTGCCACGATGGAACTCATATTCTATAATTACCGTACACGAATTTTTAAAGTAAGTAGGTGATGTGCAAAATTCAAATGTCATGAAAATACAAAGCTAATAAATTAACAAAAGACTGAATTTGTAAAAAAAAATCATGTTTTTAAAACACAATTAATTTGCATTTAGAATTCACAGCCAATCAAAACTGAAAAATTGTGCATATATAAATGTATTATGTAATTCTTCATCATGCATTAGCACTCATTACTTTTATGTTATCATAAATAAAAAAAATATCTTCTTTAATGTTACCTTTACAAAAAGCCCCAGATTTTGAACGATTTAACAGATAAGTGGGATAGGACAATTTTAATACAATGTTCTTATATTGTAACATGGTACATTAATTAACAAGTTATTTTGTTTTTCCTTTAAATTGATCTTTTTTTTTCATTCGAATTGTTAAAATTATGCATTCCCCATATAACCCCACTATTTTTTGAAGGTGTTGTGTTTTGAAAGTGGTTGAAACGAGCTGGCAGGTTAGTTATTACACATGGTGTTAAGTGTTACCGTAGCCGTAGCGTAGACATCTATAACAACCGTGGTAATGTAGTTGCGTTACCAACTTGTCAGGTAGTCTTCCACTGCCTGAATAAATAACAACAACAAACAAGGAAGGAATCTCACACCGAGAGTACTTGTTATGTGTTAATATAGAAATATGTCTGTTTACATCGAGTTAAATGGGTCAAGGTTCTGATTCGCGGCCAATTGCATTTCCTGCGATGTATTTAATACGACTAGTAGATGGGGTACGTGGTTAGAACATATATTGTTGGCGTCCGGGAGGTTAGGCCCGGATAATCCCGGCCATTGTTAGCTATTTTAATGCTTATGCCATTGTGTGACCGTCCTATATTAAGTCATACGCGGATAATCGCTGCATTATGTTGGGTTAATTTTCCATTACAGCGCACACACAAGCGTGAACGACAAATCGCAGCTGCTTTTACCTACGTAGCGTAAATCGATTGACATTATTCTTGTGGTAGTAAATTTATCACATATTTTTAAAGGTTGGCAACGCATGCTTTTAAAGATTTTCGATATACTATATATAAACTGGTTACATTGCCTTTTATAAGAAGAATTAAATACTTTTGAAATTTATCAACCTAAACATAGTTATTGTTAGCAGAGTAAACACTAAGTAATCTCGTCCGAATAGACCGCTTCGTCGAGTGCGGCCAATATTTGCTATAATGGGACACCGTAAAGATGTTTCCGGCCCGTAAAAGTATCGTATTAACTGTTCAAACATTGGATCCGTAGTTTTATCGCCGGCAGCTGGTCGACACGACTAATTACATCAATTACAGACAAACACAGTCCGCTCGGGTTTCGTGGCTCCCACCTTCGTCAATATTTGCGAAGAGCACCCGCTCCGCTCCGCCTCCGCGCTCTCTCTGCACGCCAATCGACGCTGGGACACTTACATTCCAATCGTATTTAGCGAAGCCGATTATAATTTTTTCCTAACATTATTTAAATAAAACTCCGAGACTTTTAAGCTTGGCTGGATAGAAAAAAAAAAAGCAGTTTACTGCCGCCCAGCGTATTTTATATAGTTCCAAATATTTAAAAATTCTATTTTTTTTAAATAACTAACGAGGCAACAGGGCTAACTACTTAAGCATCATAAAATTTAGCCTGGATATATTGACATCTGACAGATTTTTTAAGCATTTCCTGGCAATGAAGATAGTGCAGTGAATGCAGATAACTGATCTGGACAAAGTAATCGTTGCAAAAGTAACATCATGTAAGTACCTATATAGAAAAAAGAGACTAAGCTGAAAAAATAGTGGTTTATACGATTGATCACCAAATGATACTACTGCAAATTAATTCTCGACTATATAAGAACTGTCACTTTAAACAGATAACTGTCATAATTAGATCCAAACGAATGAACATTAAGATGAAGAATGAATTGGAGATATTAATGAAATTTGAGATATTTGGGAAGATTAATGCAGTTAGAGCAGATTAGAGCATTTATAGGAGGAGCACTGATATTAAAGGTTATTGAAGTGTTAAACATTTTGTCATGGTTGGTAGAGAAGTATTGAATGTGTGGATTAAAGTTGATATGTGAATTAGTAGAAATAAGATTTAAAAAAAACGAAAAATTTTTGAGAACAGAACATAAATTGATGATAGATACAAAAATATTCCGAAAAGCAAATTGCTGGAGAAACTAAAAAGTAATTTGTACAATAAATCTGAATTAAATAAAAAGGGCGCTATCACTGCGATTTTTATAATAGTTTTAGAGTGGAATAATTAAAGAATTTTTGATCAGAGTAATTTTTTTGCAAAAGGAGGCAAACGAGCTAGCGGTTCACCTAATGATAAGTGATTAGAAAGAAAGAAAGAAAGAAAGAAAATAAATTTATTTACCAAAAAAGGACGCGCACAACAAAAATTTAACAAAAAATAAAAGAAATTAAAAAAAAAATTAAAACAAAACAAAATCTGTACATACAAAAAACTATGGCAATATAAAACAAAAGAAAAATAAATCAATTTAAAGGAAAAGAATTGTACGCCCTATTATCGGTAAATTAGACCAGCACTCAGCGATATGCTGTGCCGGAAGTCAACACCCCAACACAGCGCTGATTTTCAGTGCTAACCTTCATACTTCATGATAGTTCGATTCTATGCCGTATTGACCCATATACAGCAATTTAATAATCTTATAATAGTTATAAAAATATATATGGATGTAATAATTAAATATTTTAAAATAATAACGATTATGACTTTAACAAGTAAGAGGCACATCAACAATATGGCGGATCTCCGATCTTCACAGTCACACTCTGTACTAGAAAAACTATATAAGTACTAGTAAAAACAATATATCAATTCCTTAATTTAAATATTACGTTATATTTTCACCTTTACAAAAGGTATGTATTATTATTATAACTAGACAACCATTTGGTCGTATTGCATGGCAAATTAAACTAAAGCTCATAAAAACCACGTGGCGTTTCAGATATATAAAGATGAATAGTGCACACTAGGCCACTGAGATAAACATCCTCAGAATATTAACGAGCACCAGGTTTGGATGGACTCCCAAGAATGCTGCTTCCATATTTCTGAATCCCACCTTGCTCATGGGACATACCATTTAGGTAATTTATCTTACAAGACAAGATTACCGCCGCCTATAGACACTTGTCATAGGGGGTCGAGATTTTGCGTAGGAGACTTTGACTTTAGGAAAACATAGGTCCTTAGAGATAAGCGATCCTTATAGGAATGACAGTATTTACAATTATACAGAGTTGTACTACATACTGATGGGGTAGACAATGTAAAATAATGATAATAGCTATTGTTAGTTCCCTCCATGTTATCTATGTATTTATGTTAGCGTCTGATTTTGTTGTTGCCAACAGCAAAACACGATTGAGTAAAACCAAGTAAAAAACTGCGCAGTTTATAAGCAGAATGTGTCTGCATTAAAAAAAAAAAAAAAAACTGCCGCCTTTTTTGGCGCGTTCCGAAAAAACTGTCATATGTCATTTATACACATGGTGTAGGTACATCGGAATTAAGCATTGTCAGAGCCGTAAGCTGCAAAAAGGCGAACACGCTGCACCAAAAGGCCCAGGGCGTAAGTTTCACAAAATGCACACATCTCAATTCGATTGCTGTTACACGAAAGACACGATATCCTTAATCCGCGTGCTTCGATTGTGTGGGAGTTTGAACGCTGAGACTTCAAATCGCGATAGATAATGGATGATGTGAAAGGTGGCGGGTATAAAAAGGTTAATGGTGGGAGGCGACCACGTATTATGCTATGGGTGGTATTACATCATTAATCTTAAAATAATAACTCATCTAGGTACTTTATTTACAGTCAAGGTTTGAATAAAATATACAAAGGTTTTGTATAGATATTTCAGTTTTAAAAAGCGTTACATGCTAATCAAAGATTGCGAAAAACAACTAAGTATATTTGTATATTTCACTATAGTATATTAGATGTAACATGTTATTAAGGAAAAATAGAAATAATATTTTAGCTGTATGACGTATATGATACTAATAATAAAAAAATGATACTGATAACTAATATAAAAACCGGAAAAGTGCGAGTCGATACGCGCACGTAGGCACCTATAAAAATGGCAAAAAAGTGTCTCTTGTATGGGAGCCCAACTTAAATGTTTTTTTCTGTTTTTTAGAATTTTTTGTTATAGCCGCTGTACAATTATCACGGTCCATGAGAAACAGCCTGGTGACACACGCACAAAGACAGACAGACAGCGGAGTCTTAGTAATACCCATTTTACCCTTTGGATACGAAATACTAAAAACTAATTAAGTACTATTGCCACATTCACTACTAACGCGCACATTAAATGAATAAGTAACTATGTAGGCACAGTCCCATATTGAATACCTGTATCACAAAATTTTAATTCGCGTATAGCGATTCTAATGTTATATAATCCCCTTGCAATAGCTCGTGTCAGTCCCCCATGCGTCACACAAATTTGACGAAAAATAGTGTGATCAGAGGGGCATAGCAGTGGGCGCGGCCATGTATGCCCCTGCCTAATGCAACCTTTCAACTTTCTTGCAGAAACTGAATTACGATTAATAATTTGAAATTTAAGAGTCTCAAATATAAAAATAAGTTTCGACCGGCCGCCAGCCTAACATCGTGCCTCCATCGGAACGAACATCCAGAACGAACATACAGCTCACACAAATACTTGTCCTTTGTAATTATACCATAAGCTTGTTAATTAAACATCAATATGTATCATTGTTAAAGATATCTTCTCTCATAGGCGCGTGCGCACACGTACATGTACACAAACAACAAACTAGCTTATAGCAATAAAAGAAAGTAATTAATGAACCTATTTTTTACTCATAGACTTAATTATATATGTATCCTCTTTTATTTTAAAATAATTCCTTAATTCCTCTTATATTTCCTTATTGCAAACCTATGCAGGCTTTCAAGATACAGACATCCCCTGGTTTGGAAGTCAAAGTCTGCTTCAAGACTAACACTAAATCTTTAAAAAAATACAATGTGTATTTTTATAACTGTTGATAAATAAAGTATTGTAAGCTATGAATACTCATATCTATATAGTATTAATACATAATAGATTATTTATCGCGTTAAAAGATACAAAGTTACCTACAGCAAACAATCTAAAGTGCTTACACGGGGATGTTGGGATGAGATTGAGATACTATTATCATTTATTACTGTTTGGGAGCGTCGTATTGTCACTTCCATTAAGCCGTCTCGGGGCGGGGTCCGGCGGGCCACGCCCCGGCGCACGCCCTGCGCTTCACCCCACACACTCCCGTCGACGGCCCGAGTCGAGCCGAGCGGCCGGCTCACTAAAACGATTTGCTCTCAATCGCATCAAACGTACACCCCTACGTCCCGCGATAACCCGCTGCTTCACGAGCACGGCGGCGCGAGCGGTCCAAGTGATACGGCGTAGCGAGCGTGATGCGGTGTCCGCGACGTGTGACGCGTGCAGCGTGACAGCCAAGTGCGCGGCGTGACGTGTTACGCGGCGTGACGCGAGTGGCGCCTGCTGCGTGCCGAGTGCAGCGTGGCGCGCGAGGGCATGGGCGCGCCGGGCGCTTGGCCGCGCGAGGCGCCGGCCCTGCTGAGCACGGCGTTGCTGTTGGGCGGCACGCTGCCCGAGCGGCCGCCGGCGCCGCTCTTCACCATCGACAGCATCCTGGCGCCGCGGCCCCCGCCCTCCATTCCGCCGCTACAGCTGCACCACCTGGCGCACACGCCCTTCCACAGGGCGCACGATCTCTTCGGTGAGCCCGAACTTCCAAGATTCTTACGCACTACATAAATCCGCATAAATTATTATTTTAATAATATTAATTATTATTATCACAATTTATTTTAATAATAAACAATATTTAGTATACAATTTTGATTCTGAATCTCGCATTATAAACATTAAATCAGTATTCAGAAAGTAAATTTACAACATTCTATGCTAAAGATCGGTCCATTCGCGCAAAACTTCCGAAACGTCGCAGCATTTTCGGTTTCGAAGGGTATTTTTCTAATTTAGGGCAGTAATAAAAATAATTGGAATATTGGATATAACAATTTTTCTCAGGGTTTATTTACTTATTTTGGATTCTAACGTAAGTATGTTAGAATACGGTATGTACTTGTAAATTTCTATAAAAAATATTTAAGACTAGACTGATTTTAGTTATATTAACACAATCTTTATAATAAATGAAATTAAATAAAATTTCGTTTTAATTTTGGGTTTTAAGATATGCAAATTAAGATTTTTCAGTAGTATGGTATTACCTTTTCAATAGTATGTTCTCCTAAAATTTAATTAATTTAAATTATATACATCCGAATATATATTAAAAATATAAATGTTATAAAAAAAATTAAAACAAATTCCTGAAATGTCTGTAGGAAAATCTGAAAATATGAGTCAAACATCTCGCTAAACAACAAACTAATACTAATGTAATAAATGTCAATAAGTTTTTTCGCAACTCACAAAGAATAGATAAGTGTGTTTTCAAGATAAAATAATATTACTACACGTTTTACTCCATATGAAAACGATTTAACATGATCTCAAACTAGCATTTGTAAAAAAATTCAAGCGAGCGGGTGGTTCACCTGATGTAAAGTGATAACCGCCGCCCATGGACATCTCCAACACTTGACGATTGGTAGACGCGTTGACAACCTTTAAAAAGTGGGCCCCGGTTACCGTTATACTCACATTTCACTCTGGACCAGTCTGCCAATTTGTGCAACAGCAAATGCTGTTGCGTGGTCCTATCACAGGTAACTTAACATCAATTTAACACATTAAAAAATAAGCTTTTACGTCTGGCGAGAATGGTAACAATTGCGTTGTCAGAGGTTTGGGTTGGGCACTTAACCCAAACCCCTGACAACGCAATTGTAACCTCAAGGATTTTGTGGATGTTTCAGTGGCGGATTTGTAATCTTGGCCGCCCTAGGCCTCAGCCCATGTAGTAAGTCCAGCCGCCAGAGTCCATCATATATCTTTTTATCATCAGTAAATTTTTTGTCACGATTGGGCGGCCCTAATAAGTGGCCGCCCTAGGCCCGAGCCTATTGGCCCTTAGGGCAAATCCGCCACTGGGAACTTTATCAGCGACGTTGTTTCATAACTTTATGAATGGGCGGTATCTGTCATGTATAACCTCAGAGGTGCTAAAAAGATTTGTAGGCGGAGATAATACTAAAAGTGTTCATGGTAGGATAAGATTTGATAAAATATAAAGCACTACCTACGTGATGATAACCATTACTAGTGATATTTAGTGACTTACAGCAAAGGTATATTGCTTTATAAGTACCTAGACTGCCTGCCCGTTTGCCTTGCACCGATAAAAGTTTAAAATGAAATTCTGTTATTAACTTGATTAGCTCAGCGAAACGTGAATAGCCTCCAGTTACCCCAAAACGTGACTGTCGATTGCCACGTTTATGCCTTTCGTCGTATGTTGCACAAACGTAATGTGTTTTGGCGCTTTTCTTGCGTGCGAAAAAAGATTTACTAATTGGTGCAATCGTTGGAATTCGAATTTGCTAACTATTATGACTGGCAGAAGTTTCGAGTATAAAACCAGTAAGACCTTTTAATAAAAATAGATATTTTAATTTCTTTCCTCTTTATCTTCGAGGTTTATTGCGGGGTTGTAAATACGTTGGGTTTTTTTTATATGAAAAGATGGCAAGCGTGCTAGTGGTTTACCTGAGGCTAAATGATAACCGCCACCTATGGATATTTGCAACACCCGTACGGTTGTAGATACGTTGCCACCTTTTATGGCCCCTACTACATCACTCACCAGATGAAAAGCAGAAGTATAACACCCCCACTTCACGCTGGTCTTCGTTGGTCGTGGTACTAGTACCCAGACGGACCTGCCCATTCGAAACAACGAAGAATGTTGCGTGACCCACGTGAAGGTCGGTTCTTATGGTTTTACCATACATCATTTACATAGCATTCAAAAATATATTTGATGGTTTGTCCGACTCACAGAAGACCAGTGTGATGTAGAAGTGTAATACTTTTGCGTTTTGTTTCTTGCGTGAGGTAAATTGAAATTGAAAATTTTCATGGGCGGCTGTTATCACTTAACATTAGGTGAACCCGGCAGTTTTGCCACCTTCTCAAATAAAAAAGGAACAAGGGTTAATCGTTACCAAGGGGCATAACTTGTTTCTTAATTTACGGAACTACTAAATTTATTCTTAATAATTTAGTATTCCAAAGCTGTTTTATCTTCGAGTATCCTACTCTATAACTTATTTAAACAAAAGTATTGAGAGATCTTAGTGTGTATATTATTCCGTCGGAAGAAAATGTAAAATTTTTGACATTTGCCAATTTATTTTAGTGATAGCATCAGGGGATGGTTACTGTTATACACAACATGTTAAAAAAGAATTAAACTCTATTAAATACAGATTGTTGGCAATATTTTTCTGCCCTTTCCTTTATCTGGCAACCTTTAAACAAGAATCTAATTAACAATGCATTAAAATTAGGTCAAAAGTTCTTACAATAAAAAGTTTCTTAACAAAAAAAGAACCGTCTTCAATAAATCTCTGTTAGCACTAAAAAGTTTAAAATAATACTTAATCTAACATAATCAAATCTTGAAAATCTAACCAATATAACCTACCCTACCTAACCTCTAAAAAATTTAACAGTTTTTAGAGTCGGTGCATGTCATTGTTCACCATGCGTAATGAAGTGCTTCTCAGGCCGAAGCAGTCCATTCGTGCAAAAGCAGACGCTCCTGCTTTGACCCACTGAAGTCAAAAATGAAAATATATGAATAATATGTAAAGTGTGTTGCAATCAAAATGTTATTTACTCCATAATGTGTCAAGATACCAAAATGTCATTTATCATGCAAATCAACGAAATCATCACTTCATTACAGGTCCGATCCGTTGAGTCCTTAATAACATGGATTCTGACTTACTTTACCCAAGTAAGAGCATCGGACGGCATTTGCCCCGGGCAATCCGCACACTGTTCCGGGATTTGAGGGGTGAAGACAGGGTTTATCACAATTAAACTTTTTTTCCCTTTTAGGTTAGGACAATTTAAAGATTGAAAACATCCTTGGGGGATCCGAGATCCTTTTTGTTAGGAAAACAAGCTACCTATTTAGTTCCTTTATGAGCACTGTGGTGGTGGTGTTGACATTAGTTTAGTGACAGTGTTTTGCTATCATACTTGTTAGCATCGCCAATTACGGATTGTGGGCTGAAGCTAGGGAAAGTAATAATAAAAAAATAGTGTCTGAATTTTTCCCTTTTGCGTCTACTATGAAAAAAACTTAAAGTCTACTATGTACAAGGCGCCTTAACGCTTTTAACAACTAATAAATATGTACATGTAAGTTCCAAAAACTCTTTGGAATGTATTTTATAACGAATGATTAAAATGCACGAGTTGAAAAAAAATGTGTTGACGTAAGTGAATTGAACCTACGATTGTTAAAAAGGATTCTGCTTCGTTAAGCCACTTTCGGGGGAAATTTTCTTAAATATATGAATACCCTACAAATCGATACGGCTTAGGAGATCGGGGGCCAAAGTGAATGCGTCCGCGCGATGTGCGGAAAGCTACTGATAGCGCTTTAGCAATACGCCGCCGGCCTTAAAAGCTTTTATATTTCTTTCGGAAATAATACAATGTAATATCCCGGCGGTGGAAGTATGCAAAAATATTCCATTTTTTTATTCGTAGCTTTAATATTTCCATCGGATCGAAGAGAGGGGCGCTCTCGGGGCCTTAAGCTCGGATATTTACGCTTCGGTTCCTATACCGAATGCTAATTCTAATAGACGATGACGTGTTCATGTTACACGTTGAATTTCTACATTTTTAAGCCCGCAAAATGTTCGAAAGAATTACTCATTGCATTCGCAATGTCTGCATTTACGATTGTTGAAATATTTTTCTTCTGATCTCTTGATGTTAATTAATGTTAAAGATAAAAAATACTAAAATTTATTTTTGTGTACGAAATATGAAAATATAATATTTTTTCTTTTGTTATTCTTGGTACAGTCGACCGGCCAACAAGTCTAGCTCCAATGCATCTAATATCATGTAAGTAAGATTGATGTGAACATGTTAGTTCATTTTCATAATTATTGATGTCTCTAGAAAAAAATTACCCATTCTCAATCCAGAAACTGCTCCTTTTTGGATTCGGTTGAAAAAGAAGCTAAGCATGCCTGATATGCCATGATTATCATGATAATGACAATGGTAAACATTTATTACGCATTGATACATGTGATTTAGACTCACTACCCTACCATCACCAATTTAATGGGACACCAACCCACACTCTGCAGCACTCATCAGTGTTCAGTAAACAGAAACATATATATAATATTATCGTAAATATTATATTTCATTAAAGTTTCTCTACGCAAATTTCATGCATCATGTAGTACTGATGTAATTTAGGTTGTAATAATAATTATAATACGCTAATGATATAATAAGTATTTGAAAACACATTGATGTTAAAAACGATTTTATTATCATTTAAAACTTGATAATTCATAGCATCTAATAAAATATTTTTAGGGACTTTTATGTACTATACTCGGCTACGTGCCATTTTTTTAATTCGACATTTTCCCCAAATGGATAAGAATATATGAGCAGTGAAACTACTCGTCCTATTTTAGTTGACTATTAAGACAATCAGGGGATACCTTAGTTCCATCTAAAACCCTGAATGCTGGACGGCATTGAAAACAATTCGCACCCAGGCTGGGCTGGGTAAACTACCCTCGAAACCAATGCTGAAACTGTGTCACTGTTGCTCCATAGTACCATGAGAAAGATTCCGGGAATAATATTTGTGGGTTCTAAGTGAAAGCTCTACGAATGCTTACTTTGAAGTAGGCCTTGTCCATTTACAGACTATCGACAAGACTATTAATAATTAATTGTGACGACTACAATTATCGACAGTACTTCGTTGAGCTTTGCTGATGTTCTCTAATGCATTGTTTTCTTGTTTTCCTTTGTTCTTACTTATTTCAATTTGGTCTATTCGCACTTCCATTTACTTTGAAAACTTTGACTAAGGTAAAACAGGCATGGCCTTATAAGATTCATAATCTTATAAGGTACAACATGACGCCACGTCGCCTAATAGATCAATTTATCTTCTCATCAGGATCATTTAATATATTTTTACCAATTTACTTAAAAAATCATTTGAAAGATATCGAAATTAAGGATGAAATTATAAACCACACTATATTTCATAATCAAATCATAACTGCATGGCATTCATTAAGGGTTGCTCTTCGGTTATATCAATTATATTAAATTTGTTGATGAAAATACAAAATAGATTGTTTTCTTTTATAAAACCCGTATTACATTAAATTGAACGTGGTAATTAAAAAATAATTTAAATCCATTTTCCTTTTCAATCGACTTAAATTATGTCAGTTTTATTGAAACTAAATTTGGAGTAAATTTCGGCTTCGGCTAAAATTAACACACGACTTGCGATTTTTCACTTCATTTTATACAAAATTTGAATTCGACAGAAAATTTACAATTGAATAAAGTAATTATAACAAATAAAAAAGCGACCGAAACAGCTTTTATTTTTTACGTAGTAAATTAAACGACGATCACGTTGCGAAATGTGTTGCTACACCGTTAAAAAGTTCAGGTATCCTTGAAAGATTTTAAGCGAATGAATGATACGGCCAATATCATTTCATTGACCTGATCTAAAGCAATAAAATATATATTTATAAAATGTTATTTGTCAAAAATTTTCTTGTACTTATATGAAATAATCTTTGAAAACCATCTTCGATCAACTGATAAGAAAGGCATTCTAGAATAGTTATTTAGAAACAAAATCCCGACTTCGAGTTAGGTACTGTGAATATTTCCCAAAAAACTGATGCTTCCAAAATAAACAAAAAAAAAACTTTCAAGTTTTCTTCGCATAATACACACAAATAGTCCGAAAAGAGTTCAAACTCTCCTTTGTTTATTGTAGCTGGAAAACTTTGCGATTGTCAAATCACAACACATTTCATTCAGAGTATTTAGCTGATTACGAAGTTTTGAATGAAACTATTTCTACAGATTTATCGCGTTTCTTTCAACGTAGTTTTGAATGATTTGTAACATTCATGGACATGCTACGACAGTACACGGTAGAGTACTGTTTGAACTGAACACAAAGAACCCTAAAAATATTTTTATTTAATAACGCATAGAGTATGTGTTAAAAACAAGAAGTTTTATATCCTTTGCTTGATGATTGATTTCCTGCACAAACTTTTGTATAACTAAACTAGTCTATTCACCCTTAAAGGATTATTTCTGAAACAAAAGTTACGTCCCTCCTAGAGGTCCAAACTATCGCCATACGAAATTTCATCTAAATCGGTTCAGCGGATTAAGCGTGAAGGTATTTAGGTAACAGACAGACAGACATACAGATTCACAAATTATAATGGGCGTTTTGTTGTAACAGGGGTGAACAGTGTGGGGACCGCGGCGGGTGCTGCGAGCTACGCCGGCTTGTATGGGGGCTATGCGGCCGCCGCGCTCGCTGGTCTGGCCGGGCCACCGCCCAAACGCAAGCGGCGGCACCGCACCATATTCACGGAGGAGCAGCTGGAACAGCTCGAGAGCACCTTCGATAAGACGCACTACCCTGACGTCGTGTTGAGGGAACAGCTCGCGTTGCGCGTTGACTTAAAGGAGGAGCGAGTTGAGGTAACCACCTATTAGTTTATTGTGTGATACGTGTTATTTATGAATTAACGTAACATTTTATTGGGCTTTATGTTATATACAAATGACGTCAGCAGGATGCTTCTAGAAGAGGAGATGATATTTTTATTGTTTCATGTTGTCGTATGATAGAAGCGAGCGTTAGGTTATTAACTAATTATCGCTGCCCGTGTACATGCAAAAAACAATTCAGGGATGAGTTACTTAGGCTTCGGCTACGTCATTTACCAAACGAAACGTGGTAAACGTATAGGTGGATTTCAACTTTTCGCCGGAATTTTTAACGCCGAGTCTATTGAACTAAATATCTGTTGCGCCTTACATAAATAAAGATAGTAAAAAAGCAGTTATTTTTAGTCACCGTTCAATAATATCCTTAATAAGCATTTGACGGTAGCTGCTAGGATTAAAAAGCCAAACCTCTGTTAAAATTGGCAAAGGATCAATCGTACGTCAATTAATAATTAAACGGGTTCAACTAACCCCTATTTCTGCTTTGTAGGTAGCTATGGGTACATTTTAAGTTTGACAAAGCGGAAAGTTTAGACGTAGTTGAGGGCCAATAGATAAACAATACTGACGCGACATCTTTCCGGGAGCGTTGTGGGTGGCCTGCGATACAGAAAAAAAACACAAGTATTACGATTATGCGGTTAGACTAACAAACAGAAATCTCTAACGGTGCCACTACATTACTCCTAATTAATAAATAATCCTTCACCCAAGTAAAACGGTAACGTGTTCGTTAATATGTAAGTTAAAACAAAAGTATGAAATAAAAGTATATAAATCATTGAAAAAAGTATTCATTATATTTAGGCTAACACCATGTCTTCGTATGAATGAGTAAGAACGTGTCATTCGATCTATTACGCATTTATCATTAAAATCAAATCAATTATTAAAATCAAATGTGCATTCACATATCTATCATATCGCAATTTCAAAATTGAATGCTGTTACGCAACTTAGAATAGAAGAAACCGTTATGTGTAACGAAGAAAGAACGACGCTCTGCAACACACGCTGGTCACTCGGATCAACTTTCAAATTACGGCTATATACACTTTTAAATTGTCGAGGATATTTGAGCAGCGTTCTGTTGATAGAATTTGGGATGTCGAGTGGCGAGTTGTTTGCGAGCTACCGGTGTTTAGTGTCGGATTGTGTGCTATCCACTCCAATGAGCCACCCAGGCTACGCTGCCTCCAAGTTTACATGGTCGTACACCTACCTGGTCCTCATTGTGCAAATTGCGTTCACTATATCATTACTCTCGTTAAACCCACTATTATCTTTATTTTTTAAAAAGCTGTTTTCCTATTCTTTATTTTCTTAGTTAAATATACAGACTAAATAATCAATACGCCTTTCAGGGCTTTAAATTACAAATTATTTACGTTAATCTATCTTTTACATTATTTTTTCAATGATTTTTTTAAAGAGTATAATATGGAGTATATTATTATTATTAGTATTGAATTTTGACTGATAGGTAATTGAAGACTGTTTTTGATCTCAAGATAACAATAATAATTTATCAATTATTTAAATATTTAAATTATTTAAACACTAAACAAAACTCATGGTCGTGTAATGTCTATTAAATATTTAAATTATTTAAATACTAAACAAAATATAACGCTATGAAACGTGTAATGTCTATGTATATATTGTATCAATGTAACATAATAATATCATCCGTAATGATTTTTGTCACATTCAGATAATTTTGCGAGATAGATATAACGCTAGCGCACTGAAACTGAATTAATTGTATTATATATTGTATTATATTGTATAATTATTGTGTATTAGATTGCAAATCTACAGACTGCTATCACTTTCCGTAACATTCGTTCTATTTCATCTGTCACATTCACAAATAGTAGCGCATTAGTATCTATTAGATGGGTATTAGGGCACAGGTCACCACGCGACCTCAATGCGGATTGGCCGACTTGACATATATGCGAAATATATTTTTTAGTTATAATTTCAAGAATATGTTACACTTCACCACTGACCACGTGATAAGCCAGCGCCAGGGATTTGAACTATAGTTCGTGATCATGCACGAGCGTGAACTTTACTATTTACTTACTTTACTTTTCTGATCATTCTGATGATTGGTGGCCCGAAATATGACAGTATATTCCCGCGAATCCTTACCGCTGTTAGTTAGACCTAAAGATGCTTCATTGGGCTTCGATGACTTCGAAAAAGCAGAATGCTTAGTGTATAACCTAGAGTTACGACGTACCCCATCTTGCGAACAAATATCCAGTTTCCCTATCGCTGGTGCCAGCAGGCGACCCTTTGTTTACTGGCGAGCAGTTGAGTTGCGCTTCTGCTGGTCCTTCCCGCAGGCCTGGAAGGAGACCATAGTTATCAGCATTCGCAAGCCGGATAAACCACTCAATCAGGCCAATCATTGCTGGGAGAAACTGTACGAGCACATCCTCCCCAAAAAGCTTTAGGACCATAACTACCCCAACGGTTCCAATTACCCTGAACAATCCCCAGGAAAAACCCTTGGGATTGAACAGATAAGAGAGCACATACTGTATGACCTTAATCACCCCTGTAATAATACGGATGATTAAGTTTGGTTTAATTTCATACTGTAAAGTATATACGCAAAGATAACGGTAGATAACGTAAAGCATTGCTAAAAATTAAATAAAAATTAATTAATACATACCGTGAGGTCATCGCCGCTTGGTCACTTTACCAGCGGACGGGATACCCGGAAGATGCAGTTTGGAATCCTTCGCAATGAAAAAATACTTGATCTTTTATCTAGAAAAATTCCATTTTTAACACCCCAAATACATTAATCCAGAAGCTCACTTTTTGATGTCGCAAAGGCTTTCGACAAAGCTTCTCTCAAGTCAATCTCGCGGTTCTCGTGGATGACACCGTCCTATAAGACTCGAATAGACAGATGTAGACATCGGAGTCCGAGTCTCTGAGATAATTTGAGTCAAAATTCGCCTTTTTTTCTTTTTTTTTTATGCGAAAAGTTGTCAAACGAGCAGACGGTTCACCTGATGTTAAGTGAATACCGCCGCCCATGGACATCTGCTACACTCGAGGGTTACATCGACAACCTTTTGAAAATTGGGCTCCGGCTACCTCACTCACCAGACGAAACGCGAAAGTCTGAGACTTCCACTTTGACGCCGGTCTTCTGTGAGGTCACTTAACGAGCCTGCCCTCCAACAGCCGAGCCCGCCCTACCACCGATAGCCTCGATAGCCTCGATTTATGGGTTCTGCTAATGGAGCGATTAATACAGTGAACCCCCATTGCGGTCACGGTTCGTACCGAAGCACGGTAGCCCGAAGGTGCCATTCCTCCTGTTTAAGATAACACATGTGCGGCCCTACTCAACGTGGGGGCCGGATCAAGCTCAAGGGTTCTCTGCTTAGCCCACCAGTTTTTCGTTCAATTAATCTGAAAGCAAAAACATCAATAAGAAAATAGCGAAAGTAAGTCTTCAAATTGTCATATAAGGAGACACTACACATATACTTTACTAAAATCAACAAAATTTTTGGGCATAACGATCGACAAATATTGCAGCTGGAAAATACATATCGATAAAATTTGTTCCAAGTTAGAAAGTTACGTATACGTGTTAAACCGATTAAAACAAATTGCGACACCAAGCGCTGCTCTTTGTGCCTATCACGGATATGTTTCCGCCATTTTGCGTTATGGAATAATTATATGGGGTAATTCGGTCGATTTAATCAGAGCTTTCAGAGCGCAAAAAAAATGTATCAGATCTATAAGTGGCCCAGAATACTTAGACAGTTGTGTACCACTATTTAAAAAACACCATATTCTGCCGCTACCTTGTTTATACATTTTCGAAATTAACATATTTGCTCATAAACATCAGGCCCTCTTTAAAAGTAATTTAGAAATAAACAATCGAAATAGTAGATTCTCGAACAAACTACACATGCCTCCCCATCGTACCACAATGTTCAGCAAACAACTGTTATTGTATGGCCATTAGAATATATAATAAATTACCAAATAGATTAAAAACTTTGAATTTAAAATTGTTTAAGCGAAATCTGTTTAACTTTTTGTTAAGTAAATGTTACTATTCCACAGGGGATTATTTAAATGATAAAATTTTATAAAAACAGTTTTCCTAGATTATATTTACTTCTGTTTTTTTTCTTTTTTGTATGTGTGATGTATAATGTAAAATGAAATATTTGTACACCAGAAATGGTAGAACATAAAGGATCCACAGCTTTTAAGACCTATATTGTACTATGTTCTAACAAATAAACGTATCTTTCTTTCTTTCTTTCTTTCTTACTTGTCTTAAAAAATCTGTTCTGTTGTTGCTTAAGAAATCCTGAAATATTATAAATCCAAACATTTTAATAACAATTTAATATATAGGTTATATTTTTTTTATTCTGCCGTTTTCTTAAACATCAATACCAATATTTAAGTTCAATAACGCGTTTGTTATTAAACTATCTTCTATAACTTTTAAATCCCAAGCGGCGAGTACAAATAAAACGATCAACGCCTGCCAATTTACTCGCATTACTAAGTCTTCCCCACAAAACGCGACAGCGACATGTGAAATTTACTTAAGTGTAAACTTTTTATTAAAGAAACCCTACTAAACCGCAGCGAGCTCTCGGCAGAATAGAGTTTTACCTAAGGGCAAATAAAAAGGGCCGTTCAGAGGCGGGCGCGGCGGCGCCGCGAAAATTAATCTGAGTTAATTAAATTTTATTTATTTATACCGTCCGGGGCACGACCGAGGGAGCGATAAAAGCACAACAATGAGGCTAATGAGGGTCTTTTCTACGGCTTTCCACGGGATAACGGAGTTTTTCCGATTTGTGAAACTTGAAGCCCGCGTAATCAATAAACGATATTCTTTGGGAAGCGTTACAAAGTTTCACGGGGTGAAAAATTATCACAGTTTCGTTTAATGC